TGCCGGACACACAGACAGATGCATGGATGGACGCATGAACGGACGCAGGGGCGAATGCATGGACGAACGCAGGGACGGACGCATCAACACACGCACGAACGGACGTGAGGATGGACGCATGGACCGTCATACAGACGACCGCATGGACGGACGGAAGCTAGAACGAATGGATGGACGAATGCTTTGCCCCACTCTCCATTATTCACTCCGTGGATATGCTGCCATTTTTTTTTATTTTTGCCATCCGCATCTGTTATTGGTGCATTTCCTGCATGTTATCTTGCAAAAGGCTGGTGGTGATATTTGTTATTATGTAAAATCTTCTAAATGAGTACGCGTGCGCATATGGCTCCAGCCGCATTCTCGGCATGACCGAAGAAAAAATCATAGCCAAGACATAAACTGTACAGGAGGAGCGTTTCAGTGTGCTCCAAGTCGGCCAAGACTGTTTCGCAGTGCTCGTTCAATGCAACATCCACGTTTTTCAACAATGTTGCGTTGCCATAAAACAACAGAAAACGGTTTCACTCTCTTCAACTTACCTCGCACTACAAGAAATGAGGCACACCGTGAAGTGTAACTGTGAAACATTTCACCCGAACGGTTTCGTACAACTCCATCGACGTACGTCAGCGCGGGTCTGCGAAGCAAGTTTATTTGTCGGGTTTTATTAAAACCGCAGGAACCCGTGTCATTCACGTCTACTGCATGCTAGTTGTTACAAATACTTGTGCGTATGCACGTATACAGAGCAGCTGGCGGGTGTAACCAACGCATCTTCAGAAACATTTCACGCTTGACCAGTTCACCCGAACGTGGCATAAAGGAGCCGGAACGCGCTGCTTCGGGACACCTCACCAGTAGAATTCTCACTTTTCAGGAAGTTCTGCGCACTGCACGAGAACCACCCAGCAATATAATTTTCCGAATGGGCACATTTAAAAAAAAACCACATCATATCTACGGACTGAATGATGGGGAGTAGGGTGAAGCTTCAGAAGGTTTTATCGGCCAACCTTGAATCATCCACTGGCCGCGTCTGTCCGTCGTCTGTCTGTTTGACAGGCGGATGGACGCACGGACAGACGAACCTATAGATGAACGCAGAAACAAAGGCACGAATAGGCGCACGAGAGGACGGACGGGCGCATAGACGGATGCACGATTGAATGGACGGAAGGATGCACGGATGGATGGCAGAACGCAATGACGGCCTGAAGGACGCAAGGACGCACGCAGGAAATGACGCACGGACGGACGCACAAATGAATGGATGGACATATAGATGCATTAATGGACGGGCGCACGGATGGACGGATGGGCGCATAGACCGACGAGTGGGCGCATAGATGGATGGAAGCAAGGACGAATGGACGGACGGAAGCGCGGAAGGACCGACAGATGCTTCGCCCCACTCATCATCATTCACTTCATGAATGTGCTGTAATTTGTATTATTTATCATACTACAAGTATAGTCTTCTAGTATTGTACCATTTGCAGTTTTCAGCGTATATACATTGGTCATATACACAACTACCACCCTCTACAGCCGGTTCAAGCACTAACGAGAGGTGGCTACATGTATTTACCGACGGGACGCGCAGCCCACGCCTTAAAGAGCTCCTCCTCTAAAAAACCGTCATCGCAATGCTGCTAGTCAGGCTTCCGTATCAGTGATCTCATCACTTTTCCTTGCGTGTGCACAAGCCATCTGTAATCACTCGTTACAACGTCACGCCCTGTGGTCACCGACAGGATCCAGCAAGAAGCGCTTTCACTGTATCACAGCATGAACAAAGCACATTCGGGGAGCTCGACAGTTATAACTGCACGGACTACAGTGTACGACGCGAGACGTCATGGCTAGTGGTGTAAAGTAGAAAACCTCACAACGTTGCAAGTGAAGTAACGCACATCCGGCTTTCATTTGTGTTGTACCGTTCCTGTTCATGTTCATGTGCTACGACCCAATTCCTTCCATTTTGTTTCATTTATATTTATTCACCACTGCAACCGAAAGCAAACATCAACTTTTTAAAGAAAGTTTTGAACCTTCTTGGGGGTGCTCCAGGAACATAGGCGAGGAGGAAAAAGGAAGGTGTCGCTACATTGGAAACTTGTTTGGTACAGAGACCTTAGGCTTCGCGCGCTCATTGCGCCATCTCGACAGTAATGCCGGAAACATGATAGTTCCCCCGAGATTACCATCGGCAGTTAAGGCCAGCGGCACTTCTGGTTGAACGTTGGGGACGCAAGGATCCACCCGGTGCCGTTAAAAGTATGGTTCAAGCAATAGAGTGTGCAAGAATCGCCAGAGTTGCGTTTCCAGCGTGGCGACATCAAGTGACCGCTATGTTCTGTTCTAACATTCAAAGGGGCAATGGCGAACTGGAGCTTATTTATTTCTTCACAACTGAGCGCCATTGTAAAACATTTATTGTCACAGTTCACAGTGACAACTCTAGTCGTATAAACATCACAACAACAAAAAACACCTCGTGAATGTCAAACTGATGTAGATACGTGCGCGAATTGTAAACATATTGACGGCCGCATATTCTACGCTCCGCAAAAATTGAAGCATTTTTGGCACCACAGGAATAAAAATGAACCTGTTGGAAAGCGTAATGAGCAGCGTTGGTTTCTTTTGACCGTAAACATATATCTCTGCGCATTCGAGAATGAAACACTACAACTAAATGATTTCACATACTGTCACGTGCTTTTTCATGATGCCCCCATCATCCACCAAGCTTCCATCTCACCACCGTCATCCACCTTGCTCACTAAGCCTTCCACCAAACACGTTTTGCCTCGCTACCATCCGTTGGAATTTTGCACCATAACAACCATTGGCTCACCACCACCACCACCATCTGCCACCATTTTTTTCACTTTAGCCGTAATCACCCGGCATTTTCTACCATCACCACCATTGGCTCGCCACCGCAACTCAATCTCCCAGTAAATTTGTTCTCTAGCTGTCATCATCCATTACGCCCACCACCGTTTCCACCATATCCACTAATATTTTCACCATATCCACCAACAAATCCAGCATTCACCAACCAAGGAATTGCAATAGATAGATAGATAGATAGATAGATAGATAGATAGATAGATAGATAGATAGATAGATAGATAGATAGATATATAGATAGATAGATAGATAGATAGATAGATAGATAGATAGATAGATAGATAGATAGATAGATAGATAGATAGATAGATAGATAGATAGATAGATAGATAGATAGATAATAGATAGATAGATAGATTCAAAGTCGCCGAAGTTTGCCAAGAAATGTTTTGCGTTTAATATTGCAGTGATAATGCGTACCATACAAGCATGCATGGCCTACGGGAGTTAGATTATGTGATTATGATAATAGCTCCATTGTTGAAAGCCGGTACATCACTATAAAAGGCACACGCTACTACGACCAATTTCTTGACCCCACGTAGTGGGTGCACCTAGAGTTTTCTAAATATACACTCGAGAGAACTCTGGCGCTAGTGTCTATGGGAACTGCAACGCACAAAGCTTCAGCTAGCATTGGAATGATGGGTAGTACACGCATTTTTCTAATCTTCGTACTTATGGCTCCGTGTGTGTTAGTGTGACTTGAAGCTGTTTTGTCACGAAACAAAAATCAGCAAACGTTCAGCGGTTTGGCTTCAGCACCTTGTTCCTTTAGGCTAAACATTTCAAAATGGTGTTCAAAGGGGTTCGTTCTTTCTTTTGAAAGAAAACTGAAACGGAGCAATAAAGACAGCCACAAGTACGATTTGCCGCCCGAAAATACGAAGACTAGGTAAATTAGTCTGGAAACCATGTTTTTATGGTTTCTGAACGATCACAGCGTCAGAGTTCCCTCTAGTTTTTTTTAGGAAACTCTATGGCTATAAGTGTTTTAAGTACGCAGTAGGTACAGGTGGTCGCTATCTTGTTCATACACGTTTTCTCGAGCCCTTGAGTTTTACAGCACACGAACTTGTGGAAGAAATAATGTTTCATATCATTCGGTATGATTTGAACGAACGGGCTGACTGCATGCTACTGACCAATAGTTTCTATTTAGTACTATTCTAAAAAAATCGATGCCTACCAAGAAACTGTATTAGTTTAGTCTGGACAGCACTATTGTGTTCATCCTCGCACAATCTTGTGATTGAAAAGAAAACACAAAACACGGAGTTTTTTTTCGAATTCAATTCTTCCAAGACGCCATGGCATCGCGCCGATAAACATTGTGAGATGTTCTGGCATTGAAAGTATGAATTAGTACATTAGTCTTTCCAAAATAAGTTATGTACGTTCAATAAACATTTTGTATTTCACTACTCCAGGTTTAAAAAAGGCCATACGATTGTGCTTAGAAGCGTAAATAAATGCAGTATAAAATTACAGTAGGCAAATTGAGCCTTTATGTTGAATTTTATATTGAACACAATGCTTGCACACAATACACATCAAGACATCTTTTCTTGATTTAGATCAGGTCAAGGCACTAAAAAACACTGCGAAATAAGTAGCGAAGCAGAGACACGTACCTCCTACCCAGTACTGCAGAACTCCCTATTCATAAAAAACCATGTCACGCCTAGAAAGAAAAATCATTTTTCGACTTATGTGCTTAAGCAACTTGTAGATATTTGTGTTTCAGTATTTATCTTCACGTAAGCTAGGAGGACATTTCATCAAATATGGCCTATCGAAAAAGTTTCAAAAACCGGTTTTAACTCTTCTTGATTGTCGTTCCTGAGTACGAGGCGTGTATTACCCAAAAACTCATTTTAGTCTTAATGAGCCATGGAACAATTCTGCACAATATCATTGAATGGCACATAAAAAGATGTCTTGCATACAGTGCACACATGTCCCTTGCCAGTGAGCTGCAGGTTTATTTCATTTTCTAAAAAAAGTCTTCTTGTAATAGCAATTGCTATTGTACTAAAAAATAAATAAGAATAGTCGACATATCTATAGAGACCTACCCGGTGACGAAAAACACCAAATCTGATTCAGTAAACTCAAGTTTACTTTGATAGTATGTATTGAAGTTTGCCAGGGTTTCTTCGTCTAAAACTTCATATCGATCGCCTCCAGGGTGAACAAGAAATGTCTCCTCCTAGAATGAATTAGCATTGCATTCACACTTTATGGTAACAAAAGTTTACGTTCGTAAGGTAAGATGTAGGTGTACATGCATATCATATTTCATACTCACAGTGGTTGACATAGTAATCCCTGCGATTCGAAGCTGGTTCTTTACCTCTCGGTTTGTCGCATATCTCAAATTCACCTGTTAAGACAGAATTAGGTCTGGCCAAACTTTCTGGTGCTTCTTGACAGTGGGCACAATTTTTTTGTTATGTGACTAGCGCTCGCCTTCTGAACTAGAGCGATTAGTAGAGGGAACGAAACAATACATGAAGGCACAGGATAAAAAGTATGCAGCGCTGTATACTTTTGCTCTGTCCATCATACCTTATTGATGACTCTTCATACGCGAACACTGTTGACGGACACACGAGTTGTATGCAGGGAACACTCTTAGCTACCGTTTCAATAAATATGTTCAGGAGATCTGTCAGCAGTGCTTTCATAGAAGTGCGAAATAATTTTCGTTATCACGCAATCCAAAACTCGGCTTTGTTGAAGCTCCCTATAGAAGTTACTGTGCTGGATATTCAATACTATACTCATCACCTAGCGCTTACTGCTCTATATCCTAAATTACGCAGCGAACATCAACACAACAAGACAAAAACTTCAAGGTGGCAGGATTGCTTCAGCGTGAGCAAAATAAAAAACAACCAGTCTACCTCTTGCTGCTTAATGAATTTCTCGAAATGCTTCGTTGCACCTCCTGTGAAGAGAGCTGAACGCATCACGTCTTAAGCGTAACACTGAAGGGTACATATAGTACCCTGCTGAAGAATTCATGATGTCTTTTGACTTGATACAGGAAATTTCATTACAAACTATGGAAACATCGACTGACTAAATTTTTACTGAGTGTATTTGAAGTGGATAGCCATCTATCATGGCGTTACGCACCAAGGACTAAAGTGCTACTCCCTCTTCAATTATGCCGCTGGAAAATTTTGAAGAGGCTTCTCTTGTCCTTCATAGACCATTTTTGAAAACGCCAAGCCGTCGTAAAACACACAGCTGCAGTCAATGTATTAGCAGCACACAACGCAGCAATAAGTCAGTGTTTCAATTGCATATCCAGCATTTTTAAGAAGGTGGCCACAAAGAATAGCCTTAAAGGGGCCCTGCAACACTTTTTGAGCATGATCGTAAAACACCGTCGATCGGTAGTAGAGGCTCCCGAGAACACGAGAGCCAAATAAAATAGCGCAGGTGCTTGGCCTGGAATACACAATAAACTAACAAAGTCCACAAAAATTGCTTTCTCTTCTCTCGAAAAGTGACAGGAGACACTCAAAAATTACGCTTAGAAGGCCGTCTATTAGCCTTTGACTGATTTAAACGTAGTGCGCTCGGTCGTTGCAGACATCACCGCGAGAGGCTGCGACCCTTCCACGCGTACGCATGCGATGACACTGAAAAAGCCACGCATTCAAAAAAAAAGGGCTCAAGGACACGAGGCGCCCATGACGTATTATTTTTTGCCCCTGCCATTCCTCCCTGCTCAGCCTTCAGCGTTTTTGTCGAGACGGGAAAAGAGAGAATGCAGCTGCAGCATGCGACAAATTTTTGTAACTCCCCTCGCACTAGACAGATTCTGAAATTTTTGATGTGGCGTTCAATTCGTAAAGCAATAAGCTCTTTCGGTGAACATGTTCAAGGGTTACTGGAAAAAGTGTTTCAAGGCCCTCTTAAGCTCTCAGTGTTATCTTTTAGAGCTTTGCAAATGCAAAACTGTGTGCAAAATATACCCAAGCAATAGACGTGAACAGAAGCACACCGATGTGTGGACAAAATGCGCTGCTGCGAAAGCGTATAGAATACCCTTACCATGCGGCCATGTAACATAGGCCAGACGGCCTGATACTGTATAAAAACCACTATCTATTCGGTGCAGGCAATCGTGAAACCTATCTCTGCACTGCCAAGTTCATCGTTGCGTGCTTTCAGAAACAGTTGAAACTCATAAAACATTATCGTGCCCACTATTAGACCCATTACTACACAGGCAACTGAGTGGCACCCATGTTGTCCTGGGAATCACTGTTTTGTCATTTTCTAATTTTCTGTATTTCTTCAATTTTTTATACGCGAAGCAGCTCATAGAGGCTCTGTGTCCGTCGATCACTTACTTCTCACCGCGGCGTCCACCTCCCTATTTTCCTTGCACGTCCCCTCCCCACTCCTCCTCTTATATGCCCCCCTCCCCTTGTCTCTCCTCTAGAAATTCTCTACAAGGCAACGCGCATCACAGGTGGTGCGACTGATGTCTACTCTGCTGTGCACTCTACGGTATTTTCGCGGTATAAAGTGACGCAGAGCGCGTGCCTCATTCACTTCTGCACGACACCGCGATGAGCGTTAGCGTCAACACAACCTCTCAATAAAGTACACCACCTCCCACTCAAGCAAATCATCTTACGATTGCTTCGCATTCCCACGTGTTTCTCTTAAGCGAGGCATGATGTAAATGTTTTTCTCTATTTTATCTGTTTTTTTCTCACATTTTCTTGCGTTTCTTTATTTTCCTATATTTCTTCTTGTTTCTTGATTTTTCTATTTTTTATTTCCTTGTACCGCTTTTATTTCCTCGCTTTCTACTTATTTTACTTTCCTTCGTTCGTCTCTCTATAGTTCATACTTTTTGTGCCTTTCTTCTTATTACTATCTTTGTCATTTCTTCTGGGCTCAGATTCACTTCGTTGCTTCCTGCTCACGATGATGTAACTCTTCACCTTCGCACCTCTTTCCCTTCCCCTTGCTACACTATTCTACGGTGTGCGATGACAGCAGCAAAATTTTGAACTCAGCGTCGAGAATATGAACATAGTCCAATAAAGCTGCGTAGTGCTTTAAGGTTAGTAGGCTTCGGGAATTCGGGTGCAGCACTAAGTTTCGCAGGATAAGAGAATGCCTTCTTTGGAGACGACGTAGCCCAATATTGTTAGTTCGCCATCTGTGAATTGGAACGTTCTTAAGTTAAGCTGGAAACCGGAATGTTAGTGACAAAGGCTACATCATGTTCGATCGTGCATAACTAGTCCAGTGGTTAGTACCCGCGCCTACCGATTGAGCATAAGCGGATTCAAATCACTCGTTCTAAATGATTTTCATTTCACCAAGAACTTCTCTCTTTCCTTTTCTTTCTCTCTGCGTGTACTCGTTTTCCACACCTATAGGTATTATTGCTGACCACACCGTCAAAATGGCGCTTGTTTTCTGGGAGCTGAGTCCATGAAACCAGAAAGAAGAGCAAGAACAGGAAGAAGTGAGTGCATGATAATTCATGATGCTGATTGGTTCTAGTCACGACAACTTGCGCCAAGCTATACAACTTTGCTGTCTCCAAGAAACGGGACGAAAACTCAAGCGCGGGCTGTGGGCTGCAGCTCTTTTACACAGCCCTAGTGAATTTCTGAAGCAGACAAAGTTACAAATGCTGTTGGCTTGCTGACTTGCCTTGTGACAAAGTTACAAGTGCTGTCGGCTCCCTGAGTTGCCTTGTCAATAATAACACCTATTTCTTGCGTTTATTTATTTATTTATTTATTAGAATACCCTCAGGGCCCGTAGGGCATTATAGAGGGGGTGGGTACAACATATATAACACACAAGAAAAAAAACTACAAACACTGAACCGCGCTGGAGCTCTACGCATGACTGCCGTATTTTCAATAGGCAGATCTAACACTAATTCACCATTCTCATAGACTGTTTCTCGTAACACATCTTGGCGCCACTATTTTAGGCTACTGAACCTATGTTCTTCGTGTTTTTTTCAAGTCGTGGCATAAATAAAAAAGCCGAGAAATATACAATGCACCAGCCCAATCGTTCTTATACGTATGCATGTGTTGTAACACTGTGCGTTTATTTGTTAATGTCGCAAAACATAATGGCTAGCGGTCCAATACTGTGGCACTAAAACCCATCCGTAAAACAGTTTAAAACTGTTAGCGAGTGATTTGTGACACTCTTATTATCGTGCGTACAGTCTGTGGCGGTGTTTTCGACGCTATTATTTGGCGTAACTTTCATGCACATGTACAAGATGCGAGCCGGTTACACGCCTTCGCGACCGGATCGCAATGTCTTCTGACAGGTGGCTTTCGAAAACATCGTTACGCGTGAACTCGAATTTTTCAAGGCTGGCCGAAGTATGTCTGTTGAACCACAACTCATCGGTGTGTTCAGCGTTAAGCATACACCGGGGAACCTATCCTTCCCAGGAAATGATGACTAGGTAATGCGTGACGTCGGAAAGACTAGTTGAGTCATAGGGGGCACTCAGCAACTGTGCTTGCAACAGGCATTCAATGATAGTTCGAAACAACAAATGTTACTCACATGATAGTTGGCTTCCAACTGGCACAGTTAAGGCACGCACTGAGAGCCAAAGCAGACTAAAAGTTCAGAAGACGATGTGCACGAAGCCCGATTATGATATCGCGATCTACTTTTGAAGGCGAAACTCAAGCATTCTCTTTTTTTGATACGGTGCTTCGCCTAAAGAGGTACAGTCCTAGTGTTACCGTAGTAAAGTGTTTGATACTTACCGCGGCACAAAAAACAGTGAAGTACTCGATGACCTTTTTCTTGTCGAAATTAAATACTTTAGCGTGAACAGAATCTTGCACAATGTATACTTCAGGGTAATAACTTCTCCTTTTACTTCGAGCCTCTAGAGAACCACATGATATACAAAAAGTTTTTGTAATAAGTTGCACACATGCAACCACCTGTTTACCACTGATTGTTCAGTAATAATATATTTAAAGAGTTGCTCTGTAAGATATGACCACCGTTTGACTTTGTTAACCTATTCCACTATAGTTCAAGGCAAGCTATTGGGTGGTTATGGCGCATTTTATACTAAAGTTCACTTAATTTCAAATATGACCACTGTTATCGACCTGGACGCAAGTAATTGAGGGGCGAAAATGATTTCGCTCATATTCCGTCCTCATAAAACACTAGAATGTTTCCACAGTTTACAATGTAGCAGTCAATACTTTCTCCGCACACATCTATAACATCACGCGTCCACATCCCGTACACCGCTGGTTTAAGGCTTTTTTTATTGATTGAGCCAACAAGTCAGGAAAATGAACCACAAAACGCATTTGTTTTTCCTCGAAATTATCTATCATAACTTAAAGTCATGCCAAGTGCACTCTGTGGCCATTTTCTTTTCACATTACCATCCATTCTGTGAGTCTACCTATGTTTACATCTCTTGGTCATACTGTACTGGTCGTTCAAGAGTAAGGGCAACACAGAGAAGGACAGAAGGAAAAGAATGTATGCCATGGCAGTGACTCAGAAATGATATTTTTTAATACAATATGAGTTGAAAATTGGTGACATGGGGTAAATTTGTGCGTTGTTTTCTTCTGACACAAAGTTGAACATGAATCCCAACCAACTGGCTCAACTTGCCTTCTTCCTTCAGTGATACAGCACTTTCTATTGAGGCAAAAAGACCCCATTTTATAATATAACCCCTTCAGTGGTTTTGAAAACGTCGGTGTGCCTAACATTTTTAGGCCAGTTTTGTCAACTGAATGCCATGGAGAGTAAGGTACATAGCTAATTTGATGAACTGCTTCTTCTGCATAGTCAAAATATGTCTTGACTTGAATTCAGTCTGTCTGCCGCGTGTGACAGTAGCCGACCCCTTCAATCAAAGCAATAGGATCTTTAACGGTTGGTTTGGCGTGCGGCATGCCAGATCCAATTTGAAAAGTGTTACTAGTCATTTCTCAAAGTGAGCGACACCAAAAACTAATCGTCTACACATCTGGAGCCTATGATTTCGTTCCGTCGGTGTCAAAAAGGAACACGACTGACAACACACCAATATAACTCAATTTCTTTTTTTTGAAATACATTATTGAGGGCCTCAGAATATGAGACTTGCGAAATTTGCACCTTAGTTGAGAGTGCATATTATTTGGCACCTGAAATAGTTCCACTTCAGTAACAGCTGGGATAATGTTGATTGTGGCATGCCGAATGCCTAATTTTTCTGCATATGGAGCCTAGTTTTATCTCATTGCATAGAATACTGCACTGCAAATGGCTATTGTATAACTTCTATCAAGCTAAATATAATAAGCGCCTATACAAGATTTATAAATATTTGCATTGTAGGTTTTACACAGGTTCAATTTATGTGCTTTAGTCCTGCTTGTTACAAATATATGTAGTCGGACATTGTTTACAGCAAAGACGTGCCCTTTGTAGCTGCATTTATAGCTTAGTTGTCAGGGTAGTAGTACCTCCAAAATCTTGTCTCGGATGTTTAGAGGCTTTTGGTAATATTACTCAAGGACGTATCACTAAATAGCTACTTGCGGCAAATAACCCAACTTCTACACCTATATCTCCTTCGTAAATTCCAAGCTGCCGATACTCGTCATAGCGTTATTTTTTTTTTTTTTGTGCCAGCTACTCGCCATTTATTCCTTCATCAAGCACTCTGAACACTTCTTGGAGGGTAAGAACGTTTTCGCTGATGACAGGCCACTGCAGTCTGTTTTTCGTGCAAACTCGTTCATACACCTCACCCGCAAACTTCGTCAAGTATTTTATATGAAGTCTTTAAAAATTGCAAGAAACAGGGAATCAAATTTTTCCTTGCAACCTTCACAGTTTCTTTTTATGCAGCAGGAAAAATTTTCGGATGGTTAAAGAGATATTTCAGGACAGTAATAAACAACAGTAAATCAACTTTTGCCTAATAGATTTAGGCGAAATGAGGAACCTCAAATTCTCATGCGAAAAACTTATCGTGGCTTTGACATGTAAAAAAGCAGCCTCCAGCAACTATTGTGGAGTAATGAAGTTCATCGGAATTTAACATGAAATATGAACCAAAGCAACGTTCAGTGCAACAAAGAACCAAAATGACACCACTGTTCGAGACAGCAATAGCAGTGGTATAGCTCTTTCACGGAGGCTAATGTACGTGCCCTAAGCATGCTATAATTTAGGGCACAACCCATACACAACAATATAACGAAGTCGGTCGAGGGTTCGTATGAAGGTGCCCACTCATTTTGGACGTTTCAGAAGAATATGGCTCATGTATCTTCTACCTTTTCTTTTTCAGTTTTAAGGATGAATTTCAGGGAAGTCGATTACTTCACAGTTATTTCTGGGGGCCTCTGTTTTCAAAATCTGAAAGCTTCGATGAGTTCTTTCTTTGTAGGATTTGAATTGGCAATTCAACATCACAGTAGAAAGCAATGCAGAAAAATTTATTAATATTAACACACTTAATTACTGTCCAGCATGATGGCTTTAGCCACCTTAAATGATTGAGGCTATAGAAAAAATAATGATAAATGCATCGCACACATATTACATTGTTATAATTTTTCAGGGTTTTAGACACAATTCTTGAAACTCAAAGCGAGTTTGCAAGACTTCAGCAACAAAGCAGCTGCAGTGCTTTGGCATGTTAGCTCCCTCGAAACGTGATCTCCTGCGAACTGGGAACGACTCAGTCAGGCCCAGCTCGAGGATTTCATGCTGTAAAGACTGAATGACAATTCCAGTACCTCCAGCTTGAAGCTTCACCTCTTTGTGCCTCAAATACTTTCGTCCTTCAGGTCAGCTGCGAAAATTTGCTCTTTCATTTCACTGGCTTTCGTTCCGTGTTACTTATATCTCTACATGACGTCTTCCATGCCATAGTCTGAGCCACGCAGCAACTCGCTGCTCAAAGGTATGTTTGGCTGAGCATTAACATTGACTTTCGTCAATGGATGTGCTGCTACAGCTCCAGCGTTACTAAACACATGAAGAATTCTATCCAGTCTTCCTTGCGCTAGGCTCTCCATTCGACCACACACACATTTATTTGGCTGGACTGCATAGCAATAACCCCACGAAAGTCCCTAAGCCCCGGGTCTTTCCCTGAGAATGCACCCCTCCCTTTGATCTATGGTTTGCTCCTCGTCGCGGGGAGCCCGGCTAGGAAAAAGATGAACGTGTCCAGCTTCATCATGAATCCACTCCCTGTCAAACGCCGCTCAAACGCCTGATCACCACTGATATTCATAAAAGCGCCCTCTCACACCTCAAGGGTCTCATAAAGTAGCAGCCACCAGCCACAATACCTGACGTTGGTCTTGCCTGTAGAATAGCTATGTTTTTCTACCGACAAGGTTCTTCGACAGCTATCAAACTCAATTACATGGAAAATGTAAAAGTGCACTGAATGCACCTGAGAGTGCCTATCACTTAGGAGTGGACCACATGTACCGGTCTCTCCACTTTTTGACTAAAAGAGTGAGTAACGCAGCTTTATTCCAATTTGGCGACATCGTAGCGTGTATTCAGGCATCACTAGCACACGAATGCACTTCCGAATCACTTCCGTGTGAAGACTATCATGTTTGGATGTGCCGTTTATCTTCGTCATCTATTCACGTCACGTGATGACAAATTTAATATATGTGGAGCTAGCGAAACGGCACACGAGGAAGCCACTTTTACTTCAATCGAAGCCACGAATCAATTACAACGAATATATTTATAAGATCAGAACACGGGTCACGCGCGGCACCGTAGTTATTCGCCGCCGCCACCGGTGTCCGTAACCAGTATCAAAAAAAAAAAAAGGCAGATCCCACGTACAGTGGGAATGGGTGATATGCGAAGCACGAATAGAAAAGTTTGATGTGTAACTTTAAGATCACTACAACGTTACGAGGTGGAGGTAAATTATGCCGTACAAGACTTCCATGTGAAGATTATCATGTTTGGATGTGTCGTTTATCTTCGTCATCTATTCACGTCACGCGATGACAAATTTAATATTTGTGGAGCTAGCGAAACGGCCACGAGCGCGGTATGAACGTGGTATGTTGTCGTGTTCTTACATGGCACGCTTGTTATGATTACCATGTTTCCACCAGTCATATACCTTCATCGTCTGTTGACGTACGTAACACCAACTTCGGTATATGTGGAACTAGCGAAATGACATCGAGTGCATCATGAAAGGCCGAATATACTACAACGTAATGTTGACGCGCGCGCATGCTGGGCACCGCAATGGTACGCTAGCAAATGTCGAGCAATCTACAGTCTGACGCCAGGCTGACCATCGCGACCAGCTTTTGTTGGCGCGGCCCGACGGCAACCGGCGCGAAATACGACATGCAGCATTTCACGCAAATGCGTTACCCAGACAACACTGCGTCTGCCTCCTTTCGTGACGAGGGACGCCGCATGCGCTGCATTGCGCATGCGTCAAAGCAACGCAGCGCGGCATGCTTGCGAGTATGTAGCAGAACCGGCGCCAGTGTTAACGCCGGCGTGACGTGATGAAAGGAACGCCGGTGCGCACGCGTGCCGGGTCACGTCCAAGTGTATTGACGCTTCGATTGTAACATGTAGTCATGCTCTCACATGACATCCATCTTATTATTATCATGCTTACATCCGTCACATACCCTCGTCCTTCATTCACGCCTCGTATTACCAAATTTGGCATATGTATAGCTAGCAAAACGACCGTGAGAGCATCATGAGTGTGGCATGTAGTCACGTTGTTACAGGACACGCATGTCATAATTACCATCTTTGGATGTGTCATTTCCCTATGTCGTCCGTTCGCGTCACATATGCCGAATTTGGCACATGGGAAGCTACCGAAACGGCCGCGAG